TCTCGCCTTCATTCTTTCGTTTTCTATCTCATTCTCTATTCGTCTCCTTCATTTTTGTTTCTCTGACCACCTATTCAATCTCATCGGTTCTGCATTCCTAACGACGCTCATTCTTTCTTTTCTCTTTTTCTCTCTTCTACTTTCTTGCTTCTCTTTTTCCTTTTCACTTCACACCCTCTCTTATCCTCTTTGGCCCTCACTACACTTCCCTTTCTCTTCCATTTTGTTTTCTTCTTATTCTTTCTATTTATATTGTTATTCCTCTTTGGCTTTTATTCCTAATTTGTAGCGTTTTCTCTTTTTTCTCTCTTCCCGCCTTTTCTGTAAATCCTCATTTTCTTAATTCCTTTCCTTTTTTTTTTACCTTTCTATTTTCTCTATCTAGTTCTGCGTTTCTTTCTTTCTTTTAACTTTTTTTTCTTAATTCCAGAGGTTCATTCATCTGTTTATTTAACGTTTCTACTTGAGATAAACTACAAAATATTTTCATTGCGATATTGATTTTATACCATCATTGTTTTATTTTTTCCTTAAATGAATTCTGAGTGAAGATGTACCAAATTCTGATGAAGAAAAAAAAAAGAAATAAAAAATAGAAATGCATTAGCCGTAATATAGATGTAATTTGTCAAGCATAGTTCTGTAAATGGTTATCACTTCTGGTTATTTACATAATGACCAGAAAAGGAATGACGAGATATATGACCGAAGGAGCAGGGAAAAAAAGAATATAAAATAAAAAACATTTTAAAGTAAAGAGAAAGAGGAGAAATACAAGACAAAAAAGAAAAAAAATAACAGATAAATGTGAACAAATATTAAGACTGAAATCTTAAGGGCGGGAAAAACAATTAAAGCGCGAATAAAGAAAGAACAGAAATTAAGAAAGAATGATGAAAAGAGAAAGAGGGGGAATAAAAGAAAGAAAGAAAGAAAGAAAGAAAGAATAGTGGAAAGATAATGAGAAAGAAAGAAAGAAAGAAAGAAAGAAAGAAAGAAAGAAAGATGGAAAGATAATGAGGGAGAAAGAAAGAAAGAATGATGGAAAAGGAAAGAGAGGAAATAAAAGAAAGAAAGAAAGAATGAATGAATGAATGAATGAATGATGGAAAGAGAAAGAGCGAAGCTAAAAGAAAGAAAGAAAGAAAGAAAGAATGATGGAAAGAGAAAAAGGGGAAAAGAAAGAAAGAAAGCAAGAAAGAAAGAAAGAAAGAAAAAAGAAAGTAAGAAAGGATGATGGAAAGAGAAAGAGGGAAAAAGAAAGAAAGAAAGAAAGCAAGAATGATGGAAAGAGAAAGAGGCGAGTTAAAAGAAAGAAAGAAAGAAAGAAAGAATGATGGAAAGATAATAACAGGAAATAAAAGAAAGAAAGAAAGAAAGCAAGAAAGCTCGGTCAATGAATATTGAATGTTTCTTAAATCACTTTTTCAGTAAAATATGTTTTTCAAGCACATTAATTATCACTTTTCTCAGTATTGCTGGGAGTTTCCTTACTAAAAGTTTGTTTAAAATAGTGATATGTCTACGTCTTGATTATGTCATTATATTTTCGTCACGTTCTTTATCTGTTTTAGTTGTTTCTGTTGCTGGAAACCCCAAGTGATGTGATTTCTGTTATTTAGTTCACTTCTTTGTAATTCTGTTCCGCAAGTCTATGAGCTTCGAAGAAGAATGGTTCTCGCTACGACCTACATGCTCCATTCACTTTAAGTAATGTTGCTTTTTTTTTGTTTTTTTTTGAGAAAGCGATTGTATACAACTGGTACTTTAGATATTTCTGAACGGGTTTGTCCCCCATTCATAACATCCATATGAAAGTCCCAATTTGACGGGGAAATCTAAGAACATGAATCAAGTTTTAAAGTTAATCTTTTGGTTTTGTAGCAATTTGTGGTATTGGGAGAAACTAACAATAGTGCATCCTATCCTATATCCAATTTCCTTGTCTTCTAGACTAAATTTGTTATCAATGATCCTTACACCAAGGTATTTGAAGCGTTTAGTCTATACTAATTAAATATCCTGAAATTTTATATAGGATTCAGATACGATTTGGCTGATTTTCTTTAGCGGCATACCAACTACTATGGATTATTTAATGTCGAAATTTAAACACACTTTTATGGCTTCAAATAAATATATTTTGAACGAAATCATAACACTTGAATTACAGATAAAATATATTGATGGCCATTTATTGTCAGTCGGTCGTTTTTTATATAAAGATGTACTGCTGGTATTTTTACTATTAAATGTATTTTTATACTTTCATAGCTAGGACTCTAACAGGTGCTACCACCCCAGGTTAAGGTATACATGTGAACAACAGCAATTAAGAGGTCATTTCAGGCTCCTCAAAACTTCTAATCTTCCGATCATAGGCCTTGCTGCCAGATGCAGTTTATCGTCATACCCAGGACTTGCCAGATAGGAAAATATAATTTGAAGGTATGGGTTCCGAGAGGTCACAAAGATGGATATATATATTCCTAACAGCGGATTAACTAACTGGCTTTGCTTTCGAACTTGAGCGGTGGAAATCACACCTGGTACAAATATTGTTAACCCAATACAAAGGCAACGAATAGGAAATTAGAAAATTAAATATAGGATAGGCTGAACTTGGGTTAGTTTTGTCCAGCACAGCAAGATATAAAAATATTAACTCAAGTTATGATCTTAAATAACCTCGTCTGACCCATGATCTCATATAGAGGTCAAATGTGCCCCACAACTCGTTTAAAGATGTTTAAACAATAAGCTATATACAACCGTGTTTCTCCTATCAATGATTAAATTTGCTTCAAGCGAATAAATACCCCAGGTTTTATAGAAGACGACTTTTTAACAGATTTTATGGAATGCCGCTACAGAATCATAAAGAACTTTGCCAAATGCCAAAGCTACATTACATGTTAAATATTAATCTAAAAACTTGTTGTAGAATAGTTTTCATTGTAGAGGCTTGTATTTCAATAAGTCTTCCTAAATTAGGTTCGACGTACAAAACATTAAGAACTTGAAATAAGAGTTAATGACGCAGCAATCTAGTTGTGATGGTTGGTACTTCAATTTTCGATATCGACTGACTCGCTCAACACCACTGAGCCCAAGTGGCCACTGCTACTACTACTTATTATCTGTGGGAGAGTCTATTACAATAGAATAGGTATTATGGTATAACAAAACTCAAGTTATGATCTTAAATATCCTCCTCTGTTCTATGATATGATATAGAGGTTAACGGGACCAACAACTGGTTCAAAGAGGTACCTGTAATGCTTTCAGTTCAATTCCAGATCATAGTCTCTGTTTTGGAAAATTTATATACAAAGTCTCATTTCTTAGAACACTCACGGGACGATGTTGAATTTTTGTTCTATGTCATTCCGTCTATGTATACCTTATAGCATCGGCAACACTCTTGACATAGGTATTCATAGTTAGGCTAAGAATGTTCTTGATCAACCATGGGGTTATTTTGAGACCTATTTCCTGGAATACTTGCTAGATGGTGTTTATTTTCTGTTCAATGTCATTATTGTCCGATTTATGAATAACTATATCAAAGGCCGAATTCATAGTATATTATTAGGTATTCACAGTTAGACTAAGAACGATCTTGATCAACCCGAGGCTTTTATTCAGTCACATATCTTGGAACACTTGCTAGAGGATGTTATTTTCTGTTCCATGTCATTCTTATTGTTGTAGCATACATACGGACGATAATGGGTATGTCCCCATTCACATAAATACAGTAGTAAATACTGTATGTTGATCTGCACGTGGAAATTCGTCTCCAGCTTTGCTGGTCAAACTCTCTGCCTCCGGGCAGACAGGATCCGCAGACGAGGCTATATCGAAGGGCAGAATCACGTCTCGGGAAACAGCTACCCGACCCCGTTTTATACGGGGTCTACGGGGAACTTTTGGCCGACCATGCGGGCTCGGATACCCCACATTAAATTCGGCCTTGTGCCACTTTTGACCACGTGGTGCGGTTGGTAAATATCCTGCAGGTGGAGATTCGCCTCCAGCTGTGCTGGTCAAACTCTCTGCCTCCGGGATCCCCAGATGAGGCTATGTCGAAGGGCAGAGTCTCATCTCGGGAAACAGCCACTCGACCCCGTTTTATACGGCGTCTACGGGGAATTTTTGGCCGATCCTACGGTCTCGGATATCCAACATTAAGTTCGACCTTGTGCTACATCTGCCTGTGTGGGGCGGTTGTTAGATATCTTGCAGGTGGACATTCATTGTGAAATTCACTTGACTCACTTCTAGCAGTTGATTCCTTCTTCTACGCGCTGCTGGCGAATCTTATGTGTGTTGTTCTTCTCCTATGTATTATCGTTCATTACCAACCTTCGTTTGATTATTCTATTCAGTAACCTTCCCCAGGTTAAAACATTTATCCCATTCATGAATAACTCTATCATCGGCAAAGTTACAAATGTCTTAATAGTTAGGCTAAGAACGAGACTTGATCAACCATGGGCTTTTATTCAGCCACATTTCTTGGAACACTTGCTAGAGGATGTTGATTTTCTGTTTCATATCATTTTTATCTCATTTAGGAATACCTGTATCATCTGCAAAGATACTGACGTAAGTATTCATAGTTAGGCTAAGAATGATCGTCATCAGCCATTTGGTTGAATTAAACATTCAGTGGATAGGAAATGATATTGAGCAATTACTCATATATGTTTTTGCTTTAGTATATTTTATTGCTTGTTATTTCAATTTTAACCTTCTAAACTTAAAATGTGTGGCCATACATTTAAAATTTACAATAAATAAATAAAATATAAAGGGTAACTACGCCCTAGAACGGTGATTAACACGCTAACGCGAAAGACTACAACCGGTGTCGAAAGTTCAACTACTATGTGTTCTATATTAAGATGAAACTTAGATAATCTTAATAAATAGCTGTAAGAGGGTAGAGTCCGCGCCTGCGCCGTCTGCTGATTGATTTGTTGGTTTTTCTTTTCTTTTAAAATACCATGATTCTTTTATTTTGGTTGCTGTAATTCACATCCAATTTCTGTTTTAGTGTATGCAACTGCAAAGAAATATTGAATGTGAATTTTATTTCTTCCATAACGTTCATATCTTTGGGTAAAGAACTTTGGAAAAGTCAGAGCTGGCATTTACCGAACCTCTTGAGAAAAAAAAATAGATGATTCGATTTGATATTTTTTATGGTATCTAAATTCTCCGTCTTCAATATTCAATAGGCGTCTACCATTGAAAAGAAACTGGAATCTGAAAAAAAAAGAAGCTTTTTCATCGATTGTAGCCATTGAGCGCAGAAGGTTAGATTAGCACTTAAAAAGATTCAAGAAACAAAAATATCGCTGTTCTAACTACAATAACCCGTGTAAATTGTCTTATCTTTTTTTCTGCTGACATGAATAAAATTTGAGTTAACTGCAAAATACGCTTCGTCCACTTCAAGAACGCGTAGGCAGATTTCGCCCATTTTCCAAATACTGAACACACGATAATGTATCAACTTTAAGATCGCAATTATAATTCAAGATAACTTCCAATTAAACAAAAAAGAAAACAGAAAAAAACGAACAAATATTAATGTTTTATTTTGTTAGTAAAAGATGCTAAAAGTGAAACTGGAAGTTAAAGAAATAAAAACAAAGAGCCACTGTGCTCAATTCAGTACATTTTCGAAGGTTTTTCGACCAATACTTTCGGCCTTAGAATCAATACTAATCATGTAGCTGAAAACATTTTCAAGATAATATCTTCAGTGTCACAAAAGAAATCCTGAAACTGAATTAGATTCTCGTCACTGTAGCTTTCAGAAGGATAATTCCGTGATAGAAAATTGCTAATGCCTTTCAAAATGGCATGTACGTTTTAGCGTTATATCTAAGGATATCATTATATCTATATCACAACCATATCAACGTTTCAAAGGAGCTTTAAACGTTATGATTATCATTATTAATCCAAGAGTATATTTTCATTCATTTCTGTCTTCAGAACTAAAAAGAAACGAGAAGAGTAAAATGTGCGTAAAGAAAGAAAATCGTAAAGAAGAATAAGGAAGAATAATGAAATGAAAACAAGGAGAATTACAAGAGAGAAAGACAGAAACAAAGTAGAATGGACAGGGAAAGAGAGCTAAAGAATGAGTTAAATAGAAAGAGGGAAAATAAGCAGAAAAGAGAGAAGTAAAATCGATAGAAGAAGGGAAAGGCGAACAGATATTAAGAAAAGAGAAAGAAGGAAAAAGAAGAAGAAAACGAACAGGAAGAAGTAAGAAAAGACAAACAGAAAGTAAGAAAGAAAAACGAAAAGAGGAAAAGGGGAAATACAAGAAGAGAGAGAAGTAAAATAGATAGACGAAGAGGAAGGCGAAGAGAAATCATGGAAGGATTATGGAAAGAGAAAGACTAGCAAGAAAGAAGAAGAGAAAGACAAACAGAAAATAAGAAAGAAAAACGAAAAGACAAAAAGGGTAAACAGGAGAAAAGAGAGAAGTAAAATAGACAGAAGAGGAAGGCGAAAAGATTATGTAAAGAGAAAGAGAAGAAAGAGAAAAACTAGCAAGAAAGAAGAGAAAGACAAACAGAAAGAAAAACGAAAAGAGAAAAAGGGAAATCCAAGAAAAGAAAGAAAAGAAAAGCGATATAGCAAGAAGCGATGGCGAACAGAGATTTAGAAAGGCAGACTGAAAGAGAAAGAGAAGAAATAAAAGAAAAAGTGAAAGAAAAAAAGAAAAAGAATCAGTGGAAGAGGGACAGAACAGAGAGAAAGAGTGGAAATAGAAGAAAGAAAAGAAAGGAAAAACGAAACCATCAAAGAAGGGCGAACAAAAATCAAGAAGATGGAAAGATGGAAAGAGAAGGAAAAGACGATATAAATAAACACGAAAAGAAAATGTTAGAAAACAACAGAGAAAAACGAACAGATATTTAAAAAGAAAAAAAAAACGAAAGAGAAAAAGAGGGAATAGAAGAATAGAGAGAAAGAAAAGAAAGAAAATCGCAAAATGGCGATTAGAACGTAAGAAAGAAAGGTTTGAACGAGAAAGAAGGGACAATACCAGAAAAGTGAGATAGAAAGAAAGAATAGTAGCAAATAAAGGCAAACAGATATTTGGATGGAAAAAAAAAACTGAAAGAAAATGAATCTTTATCTATAAAAGGCAGGATGTGTGTGTGTAACGAATGCACGGCCGCAATTTTCGACGGATTTGCACCAAAATATGCATGCACATGCTCCACGTTAGCGGGAAGGCCAAGACTGACTTTGCATTTTCCAACTCCCATCGATAGTGGAAATGATCGATTTTTTCATGCTTCTACGGCAGTTTTCATGTAATTTTCTACTGGCCAGAGTGAGAGCCTATAGCTGGCTGCCATGAATAGGCAGGAAGATTCTATTGGCCAGCGTGAGAACCAACAGCTGACTGACACGAATGTTAACTAGCATGCTAGCATGCAAAAAAAATAATCGATAGCTGCATTCGTCACAAGTGGGAAAAATTTAAATCTACATGGCTCTTTACTCCAATTGGCTCATTCGCTTGCTTAAACTCAACGTTGATTCTGATTCCGCAGAACTGGGTTGGGTGTGAAAAAGTATTTGTTGTTAACATTCTTTTTTTCATTCGGTTTTTCCAGTTACGAGTCGTTTTTTAAAGCTGATCGTTTTGTGTTCATTTTGTTTAGTTCTTTTTTCGTAACAGATTTAATGTTTAGTATAGAGCTTAGAAAAAATTTGAAGTGTGAGATAGGCAAGAAGTAAAGCATGTAGCAACATCAGCACGGAAAAGGGCATTCCTTTAAAGGCAAGGAAGGGCAAAAATATTTTAAGTCAAGTGATAGCGATTGCTGTGTGAGTCGTACGATTTTTGAATCAAACACGGGCAACGCCGGGCCATGCTGCTAGTTGAAATATAAAGAAAGAGAGAAAAAGAGAGATAGCAACAAGCGAAGGGTAACAGAAATTTAGAAATTCTGACTAAAAGAGAAAAAGAAAGTTAGAATAAAAGAGAGAAAGTAGATAGAGAGGCATAGAAAGGTGAGAAAAAAATAAGAAAAAGAAAACGAGTAAAAGAGAAAGAAAGAAAGAAATAGAAGAAAACGAAAGCAAAGAAAGAAAGAAACATAAGTGAACAGAAATTGAGAAGAAATGATTATCAAAATAGAGAGAGAGGGTATTGTTAAAACATTAAACCAAAACAGACAGTTGTAGAAAGAAAGAAAGAAGGAAAGAAAGAAAGAAAGAAAGAAAGAAAGAAAGAAAGAAAGAAGGAAAGAAGGAAAGAAAGAAGGAAGGAAAGAAAGAAGGAAAGAAAGAAAGAAAGAAAGAAAGAAAGAAAAAGAAGGAAAGAAAGAAAGAAAGAAAGAAGGAAAGAAAGAAAGAAGGAAAGAAAGAAGGAAAGAAAGAAAGAAAGAAAGAAAGAAAGAAGGAAAGAAAGAAAGAAAGAAAGAAGGAAAGAAAGAAAGAAAGAAAGAAAGAAAGAAAGAAAGAAAGAAAGAAAGAAAGAAAGAAAGAAAGAAAGAAAGAAAGAAAGAAAGAAAGAAGGAAAGAAAGAAAGAAGGAAAGAAAGAAAGAAAGAAAAAGGAAAGAAAGAAAGAAAGAAAGAAGGAAAGAAAGAAAGAAAGAAAGAAAGAAGGAAGGAAAGAAAGAAGGAAAGAAAGAAAGAAAGAAGAGTATGCTGGACGAAAGTATCTTCAATAATGAGTAGCAACAGACATTTTATATTGCCCTTCTCCTTTGAAGAATACTTCACTCACAGTTACAATATTGATATTTTCCATCGTATTTATTCAGCATTTTTTCGGGCCCAGCATATGACGATGAATATTCATGAGGTTTATTTGCATAGAAGGTCAATTTCTGTCACTTCAGTTGTTTCAAGTCGAATGAATCGGAGTCTTTTTGTTCTGTATTTGAAGAAAAAGAAAAATCGAAACAAACAGAAATTGTTCAGATCTTTAAGCATTTGAAGTGAGAAGCCAAGATGACGATCCACGCTTCTGAATATCTTTCCATGTTTGGATATTTTTAACATTTTTCTTGGCTTTCTTTTCTGATAAACCGGACGAGCTTAAATATATATATCTTTTAAAAATTTGAATATTATCGATTCTAGGAGCATTCCATGTTTTATTCATCTTCTTTTTCCCAAACATGAGGGTTTTTTTTTTGTTCAATTTTAACCCATTGCTGTCTACTTCTTTTTCTTCTTTCTTTCTTTCTTTCTTTCTTTCTTGTTATATTTATGTATTCCCCCTTTTTCTCAACTTTTTCATCTACATTTTTTTTTTTGTCTTTGTTAATTTTTTGGAACATCGTATTTGTGTCTCCTTAACCAGCAGGTTATTTTAATTGTTTTCTGTAAATTACACCATGCTAATCTTGCATGCACCTACATCAGAATATCTATCTATTATTACGACATTTTTTTTATGCTTATACGTTCTTTTTATAGATATAAACATAAAAATATGTCTTCAAAATAATTATCGGACTTTGTACATTACATAATGCTTAATATCTATCTATCTATCTATCTATCTATTTATCTAATTCTATCTATCTATCTATCTATCTATCTATCTATCTATCTATCTATCTAATTCTATCCATATCTATCTATCTATCTATCTATCTATCTATCTATCTATCTATCTATCTCATTCTATTCATATCTGTCTGTCTATCTATCTACCTCAGTCTGTTCATTATCTATTTATTTACAGTTGTGGACAGAATTATTCTAACCCTCCTTGAATATTTGCATATTTTCTAAGGAAATGCAAATATTTGCTAGTACTTATGGAATTTACCATAAATAGTTGATTCCGTGTTTAGTTTTGGATAATTCCCTTATGAAAATTATGAAATGATATTGCTCCTTGGCAATTGTAATGTTTTTCCCTCTTAATTTGATATTTAATACAAACACCTTTTGAAAATGACATAGTATTGGCCTGAGTCTAAAAAAAATTTAAAGTTAATAAAGAAGACAATATGTGAGTGCCACATACCGTGATAACTGATTCGTTCTGCAACAATGGCGAAGACGACTGTACTTGACAAGAAGCTCCGAATGAAGGTAGTTGATGCATACAAACAAGATGATAGATATATAGCACTTTCCAAGCGTGTAAATGTTTTTAGATCGACAACTAGTAACATTATCAAAAACTACAGCGAAACGTATAATGCTGAGAATAGATTAAAGACTGGCAGAAAACGGTTAATTACTGAGAGAATGGAAAGGGAACTTGTTACAGATGTCTGGAAGAATCCCAAAGGGTTGAATATAACGATGAAGAGAGTCAGTAGATGCTTCCATCGAGTAGGACTTCGAGCTTGTCTCCCAAGGAAACTTCCTTGCTTAAGGCTAACCACCTAAAAATGCAGATTAGCTTATGCTTGAAGCAATTTAGAACTTGCAAGTAAATCTTGCAACTCTATTTTATGGTCAAATGAAACCAAACTAGAATTATTTGGTTACAGGAACTCCCGTTATGTATGGCTTATTATGAATGACGCTCACAAACAAAAACTACCCTTCCGACAATGAGGTACGGCAGTGAGAGCATTCTGCACTGTGCTGGGAGCACACACACACACACACACACACACACACACATATATATATATATATATATATATATATATATATATATATATTTTAAGCGCACGTTTAGATTGGTGGGTATTACAGATGAAAGGGCTTGATGTAACAATAAGTTGGATATTAACAGTTTCTTTTCTCGTACTTCTCGGTTGTGGCAGTTTCTTCCGGTTTCTTTCTTCCCAATCAACTTTGATCTTCAAAACTTTAAATATAATGTCAATCGTTATCTTCTGTCTTCTTTAATCCTATTATTTTATCGTTCTCTCTGCTTAATAATGTTTTCTTTTTCCCATATTCTCTCACACTCAATAAACCCCCCCTCGCGTCTTAGTGGCTTTATATCCTTGCTTAAAGTGAATTTATAGCTATATAATACAAAACCCGAAATAAGAAACCAAACCAAGATAATACCGCAACAATAACAACAAACAGGGGCCTGTGTAGAGAGAAAGACCTATAACCGTTACACTCTGTGTTTCGCGCCAAGTGCTGGGTGTGTGGGTGGTTAACGGCTTGAGATGAGAAATCGGAGAACTGATTTTAAATTTACTTACGCGCTATTACCTTTTGGAAAGTTAGAAATCTATCACCTTCCCCTCCCAGATATGGGTTAAATATCAGGCTTTTTATCTGAAAAATCATTGTTATGCTAAAAAAAAAAAAATTGAATGCAATATTCACTGAAAAAAAAACAATATTCTTACAATCCTAAATGTGCTTCGGATTTAAACAACACACAGAAGGGTGATAAACCGTAAAAAATAAATCGTTTAAACGTTCCTTTAACTTTTTCCATTCCTTCTCTATCTGTCTCTATTTCTTTACGCACACACACATTGGCGCGTGCGTTTTTGTTTTGACTCAGTGACAATTTGATTTTTTTTTTATTGATTCGTTTTTTTGCGGTTTACAAATCCGTTTTCAGATTATGTAAAGCACGCAAATATTTTTTATATTGCAAGAATTAGATAATAATTGTTTATTGATACACGTCTTACTAATTAACCCGTAGCTTGGGAAAGAGCTGGATTCATACCTTCCCCAAGGGTATTTGTCAGTAACTGAATATAACAAAGCCGTTGGAATTGAAATTCGCCTCTCCGATTAACAATTCCGAGCCATTATCCATTACACGATACGTGTGCCCAAGTTCACAGAACCTGGCATTAACAAGCGGTTACCCATCAGGACTGACGTTGCTTAACCTTGGTGATCGTACGGTAACGGATGTTTCAACATGATCTGTCTTGAAAACTTGCTGACGTTCAAAATTGGTTTTTGTTATCCCTTTGACGGAGCATTATCTTCCGATCTCTTTCCAGTCCCATCTTCCTGTTGTAGTCATAAAAGATATGATAGTAAAACTTATCATATTATGTTATCATAAAAGATATGATAGTAAAACATATATTATATCGTCATAGGAGATATGATAGTAAAGCATATATTATGTAGTCATAAAAGATATGATAGTAAAACATATATTATGTAGTCATTAAATATATCACAGTAAAACATATATTATGTAGTCATAAAAGATATGATAGTAAAACATATATTATGTAGTCATAGGAGATATGATAGTAAAACATATATTATATAGTCATAAAAGATATGATAGTAAAACATATATTATGTAGTCGTAAAATATATGATAGTAAAACATATATTATGTAGTCATAGGAGATATGATAGTAAAACATATATTATGTAGTCATAAAAGATATAGTAAAACATATATTATGTAGTCATAAAAGATATCGCAGTAAAACATATATTATGTAGTCATAAAAGATATAACAGTAAAGCATATAATATGTAGTCATAAAAGATATGATAGTAAAACATATATTATGTAGTCATAAAAGATATCACAGTAAAACATATATTATGTAGTCATAAAATATATAACAGTAAAGCATATCATATTATGTAATCATAAAAGATATGATAGTAAAACATATATTATGTAGTCATAAAAGATATGACAGTAAAACATATCATATTATATAGTCATAAATTATATCATAGTAAAATGTTTTAGCTTATCAGTTTTCTAGCAAAATATGACTGTTTAATATCTAATCAATTTCAAGTTGACGTTGTCCATCAACTCATTATGAAACCTATTTCCTTTTATCTCTGTGGGGAAGGAGTTTCATCTTCCTAATTAGAATTTCCCCTTCTCTTTCTCTCTTTCTCTCTCTCTCTCTCTTTCTCTCTCTTTCTCTCTCTGTATCACATGATTAGAAGCGTATCATCGATAAACTGTACGGAAAATCGATATTCTTTTCTAATTAGAAGGAACACTAAAGAATATATGTAAGCAACATTTGATGGCATCCTTTTTCGAGTACAGAAAACTCACTGAATGCACTGAGTAATTAAATTCGAAATCTCTAATGAGCCTCTTAGTAGTTTCTTGTGATTCTAGACTGTTTTGGATTCGCAAGGGTCGCCTTTTCTCTTTTTTTTTTTTGTTTTTCTTTCTTCTTTTTAATACAACGTCATACTTTATCAAAACCGAATAGAATTGCACATTCTTCACCTTTCTATGAATTACGGATGAAGATCATGACTCTCTACAATTTCCAGTCCTTGATAATTATGCATTGCAATCCCGTTCATCTATTCTAGTACGTCTTTCCTATTAATCACCGTTTCTGTCTAACCCTCATGACGTTACAATGCCCTGTGAGTGCCAAACTCTCCAAGACTTTTTTTCTTCATTACAAGTCTCATACATTTTTACTGGTTTCTTTTTCTGATTCTTTTGATTGATTCTTATTCTACGGGTTATCAACCCTTTGCAGGTTATTTAAAGCCAGAAAATAATTTAGATTGTAAGAATTTTCTATTAGACAATAATTAACGGATTAACCCATAGCTGGAAGAGACAAGGTTGATTCAAATCCTTTCTAATGGTATTTGCGAGTAAGTGAATATAAAGAAACATATTGAAATTGAAACTCGGATCTCTGATTAAAAATTCCGAATCTATATTCATTACACCACCCGCACAAGCTTACAGCACTTAGAAATATCCATGCGGTCACCCATCTAAGCATAGACCTAGCTCGACGTTGCTTAACTTCGGTGATCATACGAAAACCAGTGTTTCAAAGTGATACGGCTGTCATCCTATTTGCGATTCTAAGTCTCAGTATACTTTTTGTTTCCATTTTCCTTAAAACTTTCTCGTTGATCACATGTTCCGTCTATTCTATTCTCAGTATCCTTCTGTAGAACTACATTTCTGTTGCTGCATGTCTCCTTTTTTATATGTGATGAAATTGCTTAACATTCACTGCCAAATAGCTGAATCTTCTTCTTCTTCTATGTACCGTGTCTCTTCAGGATGTGGGCTATGATGGCACTCCACAACTTCCTGCCTTTTGTAGCTTTTGGTAAGGCGTGTCCTTTCATCATTCCTCTCACTCCCTCTTCTACCATCCATTTACAAAATCTTTTCGGGTAGGTTATTCGTTTTTTTTAAATCCCACTTACATTCAATAAACCTTGGGAGTGTCAAATTCTCCAACTCTTCTTTCCTCATTATATGCCCTAGAAATTTAAAGTGTCTTTTTCTGATTGTAAGTTTCATCCTTTTTTTTATTTCTCTTAAAATATTCCAGTTGCTTACCTGCTCTGTCCAGGATATTCTCAGCATCCTTTTGTAGAACCATATTTCTGTTGCTTCAAGTCTCTTCTTCATCTGTGAGGTAATTGTTCAGTATTCACTGCCATATAGGAAGACTGATACAATAGTACGGCGTCGTTTTCTTTGTTTCTAATGACATTTTTCATTTTTCTGAATAATTTGCTTAGCTTTTAGAAGGGATCTTATGTCTACTATGTCCTATGAGTGTCAAATTCTCTAAGCCTTATTTCCTTATTATATGTTCCAGAAATTTCTATTGCCTTTTTCTGTGTCTAATTACAAAGTTTTCTGGATTATGGGGCAAAGACAGTCGACGCACACCAGCAGCAACACTTCCTGATTTGACTAGCACAAGATCCAATGGAAATCCATAGCTGTATTACTTCTTCATAGGTGAGCTGCGATGAAAAGATTGCTCTGACCTCGCTGGCCGTAGCTGCGATCAAAATATTTCGCTTCGTCTGTCTGTAGTAGCGATCAAAATATCCCTCTCACATCGCTGCTCGCAGACGCGATCAAAAGATCGGTCCCACCTCGCTTGTCCGTAGCTGCGATCAAAAGATTCTTCTCACGTTGCTGTCCGTAGCTGCTATCAAATGATTAGTCTCGACTCGTTTGTCCGTAGCTGCGATCAAAAGATCGGTTACACTTTGCTGTCAGTAGATGCGATCTTAAGATCGTTTTCGCCGCGGTTGTCCGTAGCTGCGATCAAAAGATCGGTTTCACTTCGCTTGTCCGTAGCTGCGATCAAAATATCCCTCTCACATTACTGCCTGTAGCTGTCAGCAAATTATTTCTCTCACCTCGCTTGCCCGTAGCTGTGATCAAAAGATCGGTCTCACCTCACTTGCCCGTAGCTGTGATCAAATGATCCCTCTCACATCGCCGCCAGTAGCTGCGATCGAAAATTCGGTCTCACCTCGCTGTCCGTAGCTGCTATCAAATGATTAGTCTCGCCTCGTTTGTCCGTAGCTGCGATCAAAAGATCGGTTACACTTTGCTGTCCGTAGCTCCGCTCAAAAGATCGTTTTCGCCTCGGTTGTCCGTAGCTGCCATCAAAAGATCGGTTTCACTTCGCTTGTCCGTTGCTGCGATCAAAATATCCCTCTCACATTACTGCCAGTAGCTGTTAGCAAATTATTTCTCTCACCTCGCTTGCCCGTAGCTGTGATCAAAAGATCGGTCTCACCTCACTTGCCCGTAGCTGATCAAATGATTGGTCTCGCCTCGTTTGTCCGTAGCTGCGATCAAAAGATCGGTTACACTTTGCTGTCCGTAGCTGCGCTCAAAAGATCGTTTTCGCCTCGGTTGTCCGTAGCTGTGATCAAATCATCGGTCACACTTCGCTGTCCCACAAAAAGAAAATCATGTCTGCATGTATCAACATCGGCTCTGATACGTTAAGAAACGTTCAGTATTCTGTATTCAGCTTATACGAAACAATTCCGGAAAGTCGATCAAGTGAACATTTTCTGTAATAAAATCTTAAAAATTTAAATTTCTGACTATAGGTCCAGGTGTGTATATTATGGCAAAATAGACTTTGCACTCAAATTTTACACCTGACTGTTTAAAGAAAGCTAAGTGTAGGGTTGACCTGGAGTTACTCAGAGCCACCGAATACAGATTTATGTGACATCACTCTTGCATCTAGTATGGCAAACGGGAAAACGAGAATGGTGGAGATATAGATATATAAATAACTAGCAGTAGAGCCCGGCGTTGCCCGGGGATGTAACAGTAAGAGATAGATCAAATATCGACCATCATGAAGACTGAAAAATAAAATTGACAAAGATTATTGTTTAAGGTTGACGGACACGCATGTCTAAATTAGTTTTTTTTTCTTTTACGAATTGGTCAAATCCAAACTCAAACAAAAACATTGTTTTCAATCGTTATGAGTCTACCGATTGAATAGAATTTTATTATAAACAGTTGTCTTGTAAATGGAATTTTTAAAGCATTCTGAATGTAAAAATAAAGAAAAAAGTGTGCTAGACAATAAGAAACACTACCTGCCCAAAAAAAAGCAAAGTTTTGTTGAAATCGGTTGGAAAATGTAGGAAATCCGATCCCATATATAAACGAACACACTCACACACACACAAACAACCTGGGTTTTATAATAAGTATAACTCGATATGAGTTGTCCCCCTTTCATTCTCGACAGCGATGGCTCTTAATCGTGTTTTCAAATTGATTTCATGCAAAAACAATTGTGTTTTTCTAATTTTGGCGCTGTTAGAACCACCGCAAAGTAATTTTACGTAGTCATGTGAAGTTTTGTTGAAATCGGTTGAAAAATGTAGGAAATCCGATCCAATATATAAACGAACACACACACACACACACACACAATCTGCGTTTTATAATAAGTAAGATTGCTCTAATTTGAGGAGACTCTCTCCGACATCACAGAGGAATGTAGAATTTACGTGTTAGACGCGTGTCTGGTGCTTGCACTACAGAATGGCTAAATTTAACATGAGACCATCAAAGTAAGGGAGGACGAGAAGCAGGCTTCCTCTTCCTCTCCTGTCGATCTCTCTACCTCCAGACGAGGCTCTGCCGAAGGGCAGAGTCTCATTTGGAGAGGTAGACAAACCCTACCCCGTGTGCAATTTTTGCTGGCGACGCCTCACGTTAAAAACTGGCCTTGTGACACATCTTGCCCCGTTGGGAGATTTGTAAATAGAGAGAGCATCAAAGTATGCCAGGATTAACAGGTTGCAACTCCCGGCCACCGAATACAGAAGAATGTGACCTCACTCCAGCATCTGGGAATGAGATGGATATATAAACAGCTCCAGTGATAACTGAATCAGTCGCTCTTAGACAGCACACGAGAAAGTGGGGTCCGCATGTCAGATAAGTTCTTCTATAAGAGAGTAGCCAAATTTCACACAAGACCATCAAAGAAAGCCTTGTTTGAAGTTGATTATCTCCCGACCACTGAATAAAGAAGTATACGCCCTCAAGCCTGCTTGTGGTATTACAAGCGTAAGAACAAGAATACCAGAAGATATACATTTTGGGGAGTCTCTGTAGGACATCGCGGAAAAAATGTATGGGGTGTTCCAAAAGTCATCCTTTTTCATACTTTTCTTTTTTTTTCTTTTCAGAATTGAGATTAAATATTAAAAATGTAAGACAAGGAGATGGGTAATTTCATTAGGTTAATCTAAGTTCTGAAAAAAAGAAAGAAAGAAAGAAAGAAAGAAATGAATGAAAAATACCTTGGTGACTTTTTGGAACACCTTTTTAAAGTCCGCGTGTAGAACAATGCCCCCATACCTCATACTATCCGAGATTAATGAAATATTAGAGCGGCGTATAAAATCTTAAGCAATGAAGATTCAAGTCTCGAGTTATCATCTAATAGGCCCATGCACGAAGTTCCTTACAGAGGTATTTGACCCTCTGTGTATGCCAGACTGTTTATCATTTTAGAATATATAAAATATAAAAAAAGAAACTCCGAACGACTACTTATAGGTATTCAATATTTGATTATGCACAGCGAATCCTGAAGTGACCTTTCTTGCCAATTTCTGTATATATAATAATTAAATAAAACACTTAAGAAACAAACAAATGAAAAGAAATTTGTTGGAAAAAATCTTGTTGGAAACATTACGACGAGTGATAAAAAAATTAAATGTAAAAAAAACACAAGATGATAGAAATGGCAAACAGTAACAAAATAGGAGAAAAAGAAAACATGGACTTTCACGTCAAGTATAGATAACGCAAAAGCATTTGAAAGAGTACGGCACAAGGATCTATGTGAGCTACTGAGAAGATTAGATCTACTTGGAAAATATATTAGAAAAATCCAGAAGTAGCAAACAGTCTGCACACGGATGGAACATAAACTGGGTAGATATACTATAATAGAATGGGTCGTTAGACAAGGATGTGTCGTCTCCACATATTTCTTCAACCTCTACAGCGACGCCATCTTAAGCAAACCGGAGACTCTACCAGGATTTATTAAAGGTGGGCGTGATCTTAACAGTATAAGATACGCAGATTTCACTGTGCTGGTGGCTGACACGGAAAGAAAACTCCGGAACCTCCTGGAGAGGGTGGTAGAAAAAGGCGCTAAAAAGGACTAACTATAAATGGCAAGAAGACAGACAAAATGGTCATCGGCCAGAGAAAAAAAAATGCCGGAGATTCGAGTTATGAATTGGAGATATCAGCAATCAAGCAGGCGCAGAAGTTCAAATATCTGTGAAGCGTTTTAACTGAGCATGGAAAAAATGCAACACCGAGATTCGAACACGTATTCGACTAGCGAAAGAGGCATTCCAAAAACCCGTGGTTGGTGGAACCGGGGCAGTGGCCTTAGCAAAGGGAGAAAACTGTGTATGTTTTTATAGATTACGCAAAAGCATTTGCCAAGGTATGACACAAGGCTCTATTTGAATTTCTAGGAAAGCTCGATCCATTTGGAAAGTATATTAGAAGAACACAGAATTTATAGTGGGAGCAAACCGCCTGCATAGGAATAGAAGATAAATTGAGTAGCTATATTACAATAGAAATGGGCATGAGACAAGGATGTCCCCAGATTTATTCAACTTCTACAGCGACGCCATCCTAAGCGAACCGGGGATCCTAACAGGATTAACTATCCTTGGGCGTAATTTTAACAATATAAGATATGTAGATGTCATTTTGTTGATGATCAGTTCGGAAATGAAACTATAGAACCTCCTGGACAGGGTGGTAGAAGAAAGCGAGAAAAAAGGACTAACTATCAACTGCAAGAGGATAGAAAGTATGTTCATCAGTAAGAGAAAAAAAAAAGTCTGAGATGCGAGTTATGCATTGGAGATATCAGCAATCAAGCAGAGGCAGAAGTTTAAATATCTGTGAAGCGTTTTAACAGAGCATGGAAGAAATACGACACCGAGATTCGAACACGTATTCGACTAGCGACAGGGGGCATTCAAAAAGCTAAGGAAGGTACTGAGAAACGTAAAGATTTCGTTACAAACAACGAAAAGAGTTCCGGGTTGCTATGTGGTATCCATCCTCTTATATGGCAACGAATGTTGGACAATTTCCCTGAGGATGAGGAAAAACTACAAGCAGCAGAATCGTGTTTCTACAGAAGGATACTGAGAATTCCATGGACAGAGCGAATAAGAAACGAAGAATGTTACTTTTTTTTTTTGGGTATATATGCTTATGACTAGTGAGCGAGTCAGAATGACTTATTTCCCTTTATAGTCGACCAGTAGAAGGTTGGCCAATCAGAAGCCGCCCAACACTGTATTCATAGTGTATAAAGGCGGCCATCTTGTTTCCTCCTACCAGAAGGACAAAAGGCGACCAGGAGAAGGATGAACTACACTCTGCTGTGATATCCACTGCGAACCTTCACTACGCTTTCCTACTGTCTCCGAAATATTCACTGCCAACCTCTGGATGCGATACTCGAGGATCGACAGTCATGAAAATGTCTAACAAAGAAGTCTTAAAGAAAATGACGACTTCTTTTATGCGCCGTGTCCCTTTAGAACTTAGGCGATTATGGCCCTCCACCTCACCCTGTACCTTGTAGTTCTCAATATGTTTTGTCCTTTTGATACTGCTCCCAGACCCTGTTCTGTCATCCACTTTCCGCTACGTATGTCACGCGTTGCTTTTCCTTGTCTCTTTCCTCCTCTGTTTGCCTTGTCAGTATCAGATTCTCCAAGCCCTCCTTTCTTATTTACGTGTTCCAGAAATTTCAGCTGCCTCTTCCTTATGTTAATTATAAGCTTCCTCTTTGTTTGCATCCTCTCCAAAACCTCATCGTTGCTCACATGTTTGCTCCATTGTATCCTTAGCATCGTTCTGTAGAAGCATACGTCCGTTGGCTCGAGTCACTTCTTCATCTTTGAGGAGGCCGTCCAACATTTGCTGCCGTAAAGGAGGACAGATATCACGTAGCAGTTCAGTACTCTTTTCTCTGTTACTAACGAATTCCTCCTGTCTTGTAATACTCAGCCTAACTTTTGGAATGCGTCTTTGACAATCCCATTACGTCCTTCGGATCTCAGCGTCGTACTTACCGTCCTCCGTCAGAAGACTTCCCAGATATTTAAATTTCCACACTGCTTGATTTTAATCGCATTTTGGGCTCATCTTTTAACTGATAATCATTCATTCTGTTTCCTTGATGTTTCTGCTTAGGCCCCTCTTCTCACTATCCTTCGCTACCTTCTGTTGGGGGTTTTGTAATTACCTTTCCATGTCGGCTAACAGCATTGTGTCATCTGCGTATCTTATATTGTTAAGATTGTGTCCGCCAATGATGAAGCTTGGTAGGCTTTCAAATTCTCTCAGAATTTCCCAGAATTGGTTGAATAGGTCGGGTGAGAAGACAAATCCTTGCCTTACGCCCTTTTCTATTTGTATATATCTGTTGAACTCATTCTCCATCCACATGCAGGCTGTTTGCTGCCACTATAGGTTCTTGATTATTCGAATTATCCTTCCCAAATATATCATGGTTGCTGAGCTGTTCCACCAGATCATTGTGGCGAAGCCTATAAAACATAGTAAGTAAAGTAGTAAGCAGTAAGTCATTTTTTGTAGAAATTATTGAAATATTGGCCTCAGTATGAAATATTCATCAGAAGGATGACACGAAGTAGGAGTTTAGCTCATATCACGTTGAAACATCGGGTCTTTTACGTTCACGGAAGTTAAGCAATGCTGAGCCTGGTGACTATCTAGATGGGTGACCGCTCGGGAATACTTGGTGTTGTAAGCTTGGATGTGATGCTGGTGTAATGGATAACGGTTGGAAATTAGGAATCGGAGAAACGAGTTCTAATTCCAGTTGGGTTTGTTATATTTACTTACACGAAATACTCTTGGGGAAGTTATGAATCCACCTCATCTCTCACTAGATATGGGTAAATTGGCTTGTTATCTACAATGAAAAAATATCTACTCCGCACCAGTGTTATTTAGAAATGATATCTATATAGTTATATATGAAGAAAAATATATACGGAAAAAACAAACAAAAATCCTTATATACAATTATGCTGTTTTAATGTTTTTGTGACGAATCACAATTCTTAATTTAATGAATGAAAAAATTACCCTATTATTAAGTGCCTTAACAAATATTGCAATAACAAGCATTATTATTAACACAGATCATTATTTAATATCTACTCCAATAGCTTCATGTGGAACTCCCTTCCCTATTCCAGTTTCCCTGAGAGCTATAATCTCCAACTATTCAAATATAATGTCAATCGACATCTCCAGTTGCCTTGATCTATCCACTACCCTTCTCCTCATCCTTTCTTCTATCACTCTTATCTATTCTTGTTCCAAATTTTTCTGTAACCCCTTGCGTCCTAGTGGCTCCTCGCCTTGCTTGGGGTGAATCGCTTTAAATATATATCTATCTATCTATCTATCTATCTATCTATCTATCTATATATATATATATATATATATATATATATATATATATATAATTATTTTCTATAAAAAATTATAACATAAGTATGTTATAAAATCACTACAAAATAGCCATTTTGTTTCAACACACTCTGTGTCTTATCAAGTGATGATGTTGAAAAGAAAATAAATGGTTTTAAAAGTTTCAGATTAATTAACGATCCTACATTAGGGGGGAAACATTGTTACAAAAGCTAGAATAACCAATCAAAAACGAAGTATAGAAAGATTCAAAAAGCTCGACAACGAAATCATGTTATAATAGCTATTCAGATCTTTAAATACGTGTAATATTAAAAATAATTTATACTAACCAATAATTATAAAATTATATGATAAAATTTAATATTAAAATTAAAAACTGGCAATTTTAAAATCCAAATTTAATCACTATTAAGTTTAAAAACTACAAAATTATTGAGTAAAGAAAAAATATATATGTTTATTCAATTCATTTCTTCATTGAAATTACGTTCGACAAGACGCTACAATATATCCGGTCATTTGACAATACATGTATATATATTTCCTTCTTTTCCCTTCTTTTCCTTTTTTATTTTTTTTTTTTAAAAGTGTGAAATTTTGTCTTAAACTCACGCGCAAAACAACAAAACACAATCAGATTATAATACATAAGCACCCATATATATATAAGAGGGTAAACATGACAAGATATAACACTGACAAGGTTATCTATTTCACTGAAAAGATGTTAAAAACTCGAGAGCGTTATTGCCTCCTCTATCTTCCTTTTATTGCTATGGTAATTTTGTGAGTGGAGAACCCAATGAGGATTGATCTTCACTACTTGGTCGTAAATGTTCTAGAGAGACAAGCATGTTAACCGTTATACCACGTCGAAGTTCCCCCCCCCGTCCCAGATGTAAGCTTTCTTTTTCTAACTAAAATCAAACAACGTATCTAATAAGACTTACGCATTTCTTTGCACTCAAAAGGGAACGGTCCATCATTTATCTGAGGTAGTGTCACGCGCTGTTTGCCTTATTAACTAGCGGAAGAACATGCAGTAGCTTAATTTCGGTTTACTAAACGTAGATTAGATGCGGCACAACACTATACCCTGTCGTAACTGAACAAGCGAGACCAGCTTGCCAAGCGTCGAAAACGCCCAAGCAGGAGTATAAAATGAGTTTAGTTTTGTATTCTTATACTAGCAAGCCGATAATAAATTGCTACTTATGGAAACAGAAGTCCTCGATATGTAGAGATGCTTCTGAATTGACAGGATGCAAGACCTACTTGGAGTATGGTGAGTAGTGAATGATTCGCATTTTGTATCTCAACTCAGCGAGTAATAAATTGCATTTATCCTATTCTCTTTCTCCTTCAGTAATTTCCTTCGCTCTCTTTATAAACCTCTCTCTCTCTCTCTCCTTCTGTCTCTCTCTCTGTCTCTCTCTCTCTCTCTCTCTTGCCCTCTCTCTCTCTTTTGTTCTCTCCCTCTTGCTTTCTCTCTCTATATTTATCGATGTTCAGAAATTTCTATCAGTTTTTCTCTGAATACGTGTCGATGGGCCGCTCTCTGTAAATGTCAATCTTTCTTTCTCGACATAGAATGTCCTCACTCTTTCCCGCGCAATAATTACCACTCTCTGCATCTGCGTAGCTCTTTTTTTTTTCACCCTCTTTTTCTTTTTTACATTGATGCCGCCCACCTCTCTCTCTACCTGCAAAGATTTCAATCACTCTTTCTTTCTTTCTGTTTATTTTTCTTTGTTTAGTCTCCTCTCTCATTCCATCTTTCTCCCTCTCTCCCCCCTCTCTCTCTTTCTCTTTGCTCGGGTGTCTTTCTCTCTCTGTTTCATTCTCAGCGTTTGTTTCGATCTCACTGTATTGGTCTTCTGCTCTCTCTCTCTCTCTCTCGCTCTCTCTCTTTTTGCACACGTGCCACTTTCTAACTCTCAACGCAACTGTTTCTATGCTTTCTCCCTATCTGCGTAGATATCACTTTTTCTCTATACCTTTCTTTCTCTTTCTGCCTGTGTGTTATTCCCTTCTAATTAAGTTTCAATCTCTCTGCTTCTCTCTCTGTCTGTTTCCCCCTCTCTCTGTCTTTCCCCCCTCTCTCTCTTTCTCTTTCTGTAATTGTCTCTATCTATCGCTATGATGTCAGTGTCTTTCTCTCTCTCGTATTCTGTTTCTCTCTACATATTTTTCGCTCTCTATCTATCTCTGTTCATCTCTATCTATCTGTCTCACTTTGTTCATATCTATCTATCTATCTATCTATCTATCTATCTATCTATCTATCTAGTTCTGTTCATTATCTATGTATCTATCTATCTTATATATATATATATATATATATATAATTATTTATTTAAAAATATGATTCCAGCTCGCGACATAAGAGGTCTCATGTTTCAAAACAAGAGCCGAAAACTTAAATATAATTATTTGAATTAAATTGAGTTAAAGTAAGCTCTGTTCCATCTTGAAGCGAATTTTTTTGGAATAACGTATTTCTGAAATTTACGTGTTTTAATAATTGAAATCAAAATTTCCATGGTAACAAAGAGGGCGAATTGTTTAAATTGGGTAGGCGTGTGTTGAGTGTTAATAATAAGTATCAGTATAGAGTTACTTTCATAGATGTCAAGTCAGGGCAAGGTGGGGGTGTCTAAATTTGAAACGGAAGATGTTTTAGCCTAGTCTGGTTTACGTGTCTATGGAGATTTATTTATTTTTTTATTTTATATATATGAAAAAACAAAAAAAAAAAACAAAAAAAAAAAACGCCGTAACATTTGGTTTTGACGACTTCATAAAGGGTTATCTTTTTTGTAGGGTATTTAAACTATTTATTTGGGCTATATATTATAAAAGTTATTGTATTGTATGCTTGTTTTTAGCTAATTATTCAAACCATGAATTTGATGATGTCGACAAAAAACCGTTAACTCATGTCTATTGTTTAATAGATTATTATTATTCCAAAAAAATTTCGCTTGAAGATGGAACAGAGCTTACTTTAACTCAATTTAATTCAAATAATTATATTGAAGTTTTCGGCTCTTGTTTTGAAGCATGAGACCTCTTATGTCGCGAGTTGGAATCATATTTTTAAATAAATAATTATATTTATGCTCTACTTTTGTATCGAGCACTATTTTTTAAAATAATAACTAAAATACTAAGGAACTTTGGATTATTTACCTAACCAGTTCTTTCCTATTTTCTATATATTTTCACACACACACACACACACACACACACACACACACACACACACATATATATATATATATATATATATATATATATATATACAATAAGATTGACGTTGCATATATATATATATATTTATATATATATATATATATACAATAAGATTGACGTTGCAATGTATACATGAGAAGGATCTCCTACGAGATCGAAATTACTTGGGTAGGAAGAAATCTGTCCTTGATGAATTTCATTTTAATATCAAGAAACCGATTCAAGAACTAGAAAGGATTATTATAAAAAATAATTAAACATAATATGTCTATATTATTCAATGAATCATATACAGGGTGCGATGTATAAATTGTCATCTAAATTACGCGAAAATGGAAATAACACTGACATCTTATTTTAACAGATATATTTACCAAAATGACACAAAAATATCTCGAAATACTAAAGAGTAAATTTATTCAATAAAATCGCCATTAGCTTCAACCACGGCCTCCAGACGACATCGGAATCTCCTGCAACTCTTCTCAAGGGTCTCCTTTTTTTAATTCGTGAATCTCTATCTATAAAAGGCAGGATGTGTGTGTGTGTGTGTGTGTGTGTGTGTGTGTGTGTGTGTGTGTGTGTGTGCGTAACGAATGCACGCCCGCAATTTTCGACGGGTTTGCACCAAAATTTACATGCACATGCTCCAAGTTAGTGGGACGGCCAAAGACCGACTTTGCATTTCCCAACTCCTATCGATAGTGAAAATAATTGATTTTATCATGCTTCTACGGGAGTTTTCATGTAGTTTGCGGCCATTTTCTACTGGCCAGAGTGAGAGCCAATAGCTGGCTACCACGATTTGGCAGGAAGATTCTATTGGCCAGCGTGACAGCCAACAGCTGACTGACACTTATATTAACTAGCATGCTAGCATGCAAAAAAAAAAATCGATAGCTGCATTCGTCACAAGTGGGAAAAATTTAAATCTGCATAGCACTTTACTCCGCTTGCTTAAACTCAACATTGATTCTGATTCTGCAGAACTGTTGGGTGTGAAAAAGTATTTGTTGTTAACATTCTTTTTCATTCGGTTTTTCCAGTTATGAGTCCTTTTTTAAAGCTGATCATTTTGTGTTCATTTTGTTTAGTTCTTTTTTCGTAACAGATTTAATGTTTACTATAGAGTTTAGAAAAAATTTGCAGTGTGAGATAGGCAAGAAGTAAGGCATGTAGCAACATCAGCACGGCAAAGGGCACTCCTTTAAAGGCAAAGAAGGGCAAAAATATTTTAAGTCAAGTGATAGCAATTGCTGTATGAGTCGTACGATTGTTGAATCAAGCCCGGGCAACGCCGGGTTATGCTGCTAGTGATACCATAAATCTTACCTTCGGTTCATCTTTGATGTTAGAAGGAGATTTGTTGGTAACTCGCTCAACTACACCCGACAAATAATATTCAGGATGGTGCAGTCTGGGGAGTTAAGTGGCCAGATGTAAAGGTGATATAGACACGGAAATTGTCTGAAAGCCATGACTGGGTTCATCTGCTTGTGTGGCATGAGACAGAGTCCTGTTGCCAGACATAGGGTCTTCCAGCAGCCACTCTCTTGACATAAGGCAGCACTACTACCTCAAGGCCATTGATCTCAAGTCGGAGGCACTCATCAACAAATTCAGGAGTTCTTTTCTTATCAGAACGATCAGAGTGAGTTTTCCGAGATGTCATACCTTCGTAATCGCGATTAGACTCATCCAACTCTTTCAGAATCCTCTGCACTGTCCTCAGATTCACACCCAATCACACTGAAATGTTTCTATTGGAGCTTCCGAAGCGAATGCCAAGCAGTACAATATGCAGTTACCGAATTTTTGGCGGAGTAAATTTTGTCATGGGGCTCTTTTTCTCGCAGATGGTGCCCAACTGACCCTACTATAATGTGCAGTTGACAAAATAAAAAATAAACAATGCGCATGCGCGAAAATAAAAAATATATAAAATGTCAACTATTTACCATTGCATCCTATATATCTTAGTGTGTTCCAATCTATTTATATATTATAAAATGGACTAAGTCCGATAGTTATTTTAATATATTCATTGTTTATACGTTATGAATGTCTCATTGAAAATATGTTCTCCGACAGGAATCGAACCTGTGCCCTACACGGAACTGTGATATAGCCTGACGTGTTATACTGTTTAGCGACAGAGGAAGCGTCTAGTTAGCAACGTCGAATTAAGGGAAATTTGTAGTTTAAAAGCCGAAATTCGACCTTGCTATCCAGGCGCTTTCTCTGTAGCTAAATTGTATACCATGTCAGGCTATATGACGGCTCCGTGTAGGATATGGGTTCGATTCCTGTCGGAGGATGCATGTTTTCTTTGAGATTTCTCGGGCATTCAGGTCACTAAATGTTCTTAAGACTGTTTATTATAAACAGAGAAAATACTTAGATATCTGTATCTATAAAAATAACGTATAAACTCTATCTATAGAGAGAGAGAGAGATCCACATTACAACCAAAAACGCCTGCGG